CGGCACTATCAAGTCCGAGCTTCTTCTTCTTCTCTTTTTCTTTCGACGATCTAGGATCGTTCTCGGACGGCAATTAAGGCCGTTGGCTCTGATACCATGTTAAATCGGAGAGTTTGAGAGGAAAAGCTTGAATTTTATTAAGCAATCTACTCCCTATTTATAGATCTATACAAGGTGTATCGATAAGGAAACAAATAACTCTTATAATAACATGAATATAATTATTCCTAAATTAATGGGAGGAATTAATGCAATCCATGTAGTCTTCCCACGGATTACTGTTTACAGTCGTGGATATCTTTGGGATCGTAAGGTTGAGATTTAACAGTATCCATTTATATTAGATTTTGCATAAGTTGACTTGCGACCTAAACAACAAAAGAGATGTTTGATTGCATAAATTCCAAATAAAACAAATTTTCAATCAACCTTCTAAACTAAAGATAGATCATCATTCGGTGTATCCTCATCGAATATAATTTGATCATCCACGTGAGTGTCGGCTAGTTTGCAACCTAAAGGTTTAAATTCATCAAGAAAATCAATGACATGTTTTTTTAAGATAGAGAATTTCCTCTTTTGACATAAGCAAATTCAATACCAAGAAATTATTTAGGGTGCCAAATATCTCCAGTTACACTACAATTCTATAAGTAGTATTTTACTTGGCCCTTTTTCATTGCTTACAGAGGGTAGTATATCATTTACATATATGGATAGCAAAATTAAGCATATTGTTCTATATTTATCAGAGATAGAATAACAGTTCGTATTTCAAAGGCCAGTTTTTGCAAGAAACTTATAGAGTTTGTAAAAACAAGCCCATGCCCATAAGTAGCCTTCCAAATTAAGCATGTGTATGTCCCCTTGAGCAACATACCAAGTTGGTTGATTCATATATACATCTTCATTCAAATCACTATAAAGGAAGAGGTTACTAACATCTATTTGCAACATGGCCAACCTAGAATGATAACCATAGATATTAGAATTCTGATATAGCTAGGTCTGACGATCGAAAAGAAAATATCAATAAAACATTTCCCATGGACTTAAATAAAATCTTTGGCAAGCAGTTGAGCTTTGTATCACTATCAATCAATAAAGCCATTAAGTAAAATTTTGGGAGTGAATCTACAAGCAATTGGTTTGACATTACAGGAAGGTAACCAATTCTCATGTTTGTCGTCTATGAAGAACGTTCATCTAAGCATCCATTGTTTATTTCCATAGAAGACATAAAAGTGCTTCTAGATATGTCCTAAGCATAGATTTAACATTTAAAGACAAGGAAAAACAATGATAAGTTGGGATAAATGATCAAAGTTCATGAATGAGTGAATAGGATGAAAATAGTTAATAATTTACGACAATTTAGTGCAATAGGAGATGTAGCTCTGAAGGCACGATTTAAGAGGGAACTTCGATAGAAGTAGAAGAGTTGATAATATTTATATCCATTTTGAATTTAGAAGCACCCAAGGAAGATACAACGAGTACTACTAGAAGAGATTCTATCATGCGGGTAAAAAAATTAACGAAGGAAAATTAACCAAACACCCATATAATAAGAGAAAAAAATAGGCAAATTGGGAGAGCAAATGTGGATTGGGAAATGATTTTTGAAAAGCGCAGAGGACCACAATCAGTAAGGTAAGAGGAAATTAGGATCACATGTTCCCATAATTGGTGTGGCATATTCATATGAGACATAAGTGTCCTAACAACATTAAAGAGATGACCATGTGTATGTTTGGTGACTTCATTTTGTTAAGAGATATGTGTCGTCTAATTAAGAATGTAATTTTTGAATAAAGAACTATGGAATTGGGCTTGCAAGTATTCTAAAGCATTATAAATGTGCAAAACTTTTGGTGAGGTGTAAAACTGAGTTTTAATTTCTTAATGAAACTTCTGAAATAAATCAAAGGGCTTCTCACAAATATTTTAAAATATACCCAAGTAACTCAAAGAAGGATAATCAATAAAGAAAATAAATAGTTAAAACTTAAGAGAGCTTGAACTCATAGCATGATTCAAACCCTAAATATCATAACGAATTAACTCAAAAGAAATAAGACAATAGTTAGTACTAGATGATGAAAATGATATATGACGACGTTTTCCCAATTCACGAGCAAGGTATTCAAATTTAGAAGGAAGAGACCTAACAAATTCTTGATGTCGAGCAAGTAAAGGATAGTCCAACTGCAATGTCATTGATAAGGAGTAATAGTGAAAGCAAAAGTAAAAGAAGTATCAGTTGTTAAGTAGTATATGCCTCTAGATTCATTACCCCTCCCAACAATCTTCATTGAGCTGAGGTCTTAAAAGACAATGCGTAGAATAAAATGTTACAAAATAACTATGGGGAGTAAGATAATGAACAAAAAAAGATAGGATCCTAAGAGATATAATGACTAGGATAAATATTATAGAATAATAATGGGTGGTAGTAAGACAATTTAAAAATAATAAATTTACTAGAAACTAAAGAGCATAGAACACATTCTAGAGAGTAAGATTTAGGAAGGGTGGACAATTCCTTTCCAAGGATAGGGAACTATTGTAATGATGAAAGGTGGCAAAGGAGACATGCAACAATGAAAATAACTATTGGTATATATAATGTGGGAAGATTCTCTTGAATGAAAAATCCAGAACTTACTAGTAAAGGCAATAGTACTAAAGCATAAGGAAGAGATTCCCTTAGAAACTAAGTGATAGAGAGAGACCTTCTAATAAATAATCGACCATATTCATCCAGAGGGATAGTAAGAAAGCTTGAACTAAATGAAAGAAAATTAAAGTTATCTGTGGATATATGTTAGGCAATTGACAGATAGCTATATCAATCCCACAAATATTCAGGAGGATCATAGTGAAACTACAGTATAGGCATAAATTAAAGAGATTTTTATAGCCACGACCACCACCAATTTGTCCTCCCCAACCACATCTTCCTCTCCTGCATTGTGAATTAGAGCAAAGATAGAGTGACCATGGGTCAAATATGAAGAATTTGATAGTTCAGTGATGCAAGAGACTTGAGATAAAGCTTAGTAAAGTTTGCATGATAAAATAAGCCTTTAATTGAGATTTTATACCCTACAAAAAGGGATGAACTCAAGAAAATAACTTTGCAACCCAAAATTCTTAATTATATTTTTGTTAGAGAACAATATCAATAGTGATGAGATAATATTGGAGCAATTCATCATACTTCCATCAATATGTCATAGTACTCTTGAATTGGCAAGTTCTTCTGTTGGAGAGAAAAATTGTCATAATAGAGAGTGTATATCTAGAAGGTATTGCTATCTTAAAAATAAATGGAATGAAGAAATTCTCATAACTTGTTGGCAATGTCTTGAAATATGATAACAGATGCAATGAATAGTTCAAGGTTCTTAAGGAGCCACACTAAGTAAGAACAGCATAATCAAAATCTTGCTATTTGAACAGGTTAAGGTTTGCTATCTGAAGGGCCATCAAAATGATTAAATTTTCATGTGATGTGACAAAGAAGCAAAGGGCTCTAACCATAGAAGAAGCAAAGGGCTCTAACCTGAAATTTGATGGAGATATAGTGATGGAGAAGGATTTCACTTAATTTAGAGGAGAGATAGCAATCATAACACCTATGAGAGATGTACAACAATCTAAGAATTATATAAATCATGTCAAAAAATCAAGTCTAAAATAGGATCATCAAGTGCATATTGGAGTAGAGCAAGTGTGATCACTTGGGCATGCAAGGAGAGTCCCAAGTGTTCTTAGAGCAACCACTAGCATGCAAAGATGCATGCATAGATGCGTGCAGGGAGTAGAGGCACACCAGTGTAACACAAGCATAATGTGCATACGAGTAATGCAGCATAAATGCGAACAATTGGAGGCATGCAAGTGTATGATGTTGTCAAGCACATGACAATAATATAGTGAGCGAGTACAACAAGTAGAGAATGTAGCACACAGGCAAATATAGTTTGCGAGAAAAGTAGGCAAACAATAGACTGGGGAATTGAATGAGAATAGTGTGCGCAACAAGGGGTGAATTAAATTGCATGGTGTCGTGGAAAGGTAGGATGTTTTCCAAGTGAGGGTATCTAAAGCTCTAGGACCTAGTACTATGTTAAAATAACATAATTAAATGATTTAATCAGTGAATATTAATGCCTATTTATAGGCCTACATGATAAATAAAAATGAAAGTTGGGGCATCCAGAGCTCTAGGTCTAATGCCATGTTAAAAGAAAAAAATGGCTGTTTTATTCATTGAAGAGTACTGCCTATTTATAGGCGTACATGACGGAATAAATATGAAGTTAATAAAGAAGATAATAAAAGTTGTTGAGAAGAAATCAACATAAATCTTCCCAAAACATATACTCTCTATACATAATGTTTTCATAATATGTTAAACCCAACAAAATGCAATCTTTCTTGGACAAGAAATTAGCACATCTTCCAACCCATAACTAGCATCAAGCCTTTTAGTTTGCCCATAGAACGTCTATGACAGCATGACCAAAAGTGAGAGAATCTGAACTCAATATAAGAACTAAAACTAACAAATAAATACAGAAATGGAGACGGGAAGCCTCTTAAGTGAAGCATACCAGAAGAAGAGCTTGCCCTAGGAAATCTCAAGGGGATTTTTCTCCGGGAGGGAGAACTACTTCGAAAGATAACATCCCGAGCGAACCCCAAATGGAGGAACGAACCGGAAAGGCTACAACTTGCAGAGAACCCACTGCAAGAAATGCAATCAAAGGCCACGCTCAGTTCGCATTGGCGGCATACTGGCACTTCAAGCGGTGTGAAAAATAGAGATTTTGGGGGACTTCACCTTCTCGGCGGCGACGAAATTATTTGCATTGCCTTCTTTGTTGAATTCTCTTCTTAAATTCGCAGGGTGGAATAGTTTTCTTCCTCTCCCGCCTCCCGCTCTTCCCCTTATCTGATATCTCTGTTCGCTCGCCATAGGATTAAGCATCCGTTTAGGTATACACACAACATGACATTCAAGGACTTCACCTTTTTTTTTTAATCAAATTAAATATTAAATTTTTAAAACACTTATTTTAAAATATTTTACACGCATTTTTCATCAAATAAAATAATTCTTAAAAATATATATTTAAAGTTAAGAAAAAAAAGACTTTGCTTGTTTTCCATTTTATATTTGCATGGGAAATTTATTTTTTTTCCTTACAATAAATTTATAAGTCTTAATATCTTGATTATTTTATTATTTTAACAAATATTTTCTAAATAATTTTGGAATTAAAAAAAAAGTCTCAATTTTTATATAAAAGCAAAGTGCATAAAAGCTAAAACCTCCAATTTAATTTGAACAAGAATTTTGAATGCATCCTCTGCTACTATAGTTAGGGATTGTTGTTGGAGGAGATGATGCACATAGAAGTAATATGAGAGAAGAAAATAGGGATCATAAAAGCTTCATTTTTCAATGAATTGTTCATTCTATTTTAATTCTCCAATTTCTCGTCTTAAGAAATTGATTGTTCTCTAATTTTGTCTAGTCTATGTTGGCGATGATGAATAATGCAACAATATACCCTTAGTGTCGTAATACAAAGATAATGATGAACGAAGTCCCCATAAAAAATATCAAAAATTTAATTTGATATGCTTTTTTTTTGTAATATTTTTACTTACTTATGCACTTCTCATAATGCTGGCTTGATTTTTTTGTTACATGGTGATGTGCATATGTATGTTTCTCCCGAAATATTTTCATTGCAAAATACTTTCATTCTAATTTTTAAGAAAATTTTTAATTTTGGATATCATGTTGATGAAATTGCAATGTTTTTGTCTTTAGTGAATTTTTGTGATCACACCAACAGTCCAAAAATTTAGCAATTTTTTTTGTGAATGTGGATAATATCTTGGGCCACCTTCTTGAATTTTTTTTTTGAAATGAAAATAATATCATTTGATAGAATAAAAAGTTTATGAATAGTAACTTCGATAAATATGTCATTTGATTTTTTTTGCTGACTTAAAAAATTTACTCTTGTATATTTTTCATACTGAGTTAAAATTTTGTAAAGATACTTCTATTGATGTGTAGATGATGCAAAAAATGAAAATTTTATCAACATAATTTTTTCTGGAAAAATCATTGAGTTGTTGTTGGTCAATGATTCACACACTTCATTATTTTCTTAGAAAATTTTATTGAAGCTTCAAACGAATGTATTTTCTAGCGTACTTGATGTTGTCAGAAAGAGAATTCTATGAATTATATCCTTCAATAAATTTCTTATATATTTCTCATATTTTTATTCTTTTTATTTATTACTGTACCATTCTTATATAGAAATATATATACATCTCAAATATCGTAAAAAAGGAGCTTGATTTTTAGCTTGGTATTAGATATCAATATTGAGAATGCCATGTATCAATGTTGGAGTTGAAGCCTTTGGAATCATTCAAGATGGATTATACTTGAGATAGAAGTCACATCCTTGGAAGAAACTTTAAAGGGAAAGAGATCTCCCAAGTCAGGGAAGGAGTGTAAAGATTTGAAGGATAAAAAGAACTTCAAGAAATACATGCAATGGTTATGAAGACTATGTTGCTAAAGCATATGACATAATATGTCTTCTCCCATTCAACATCCTCTACGTTTTTTAGCATCCAAATGTCAATTCCAACTCACTCACTAAGCTTTGCTCTTTATAAATAATTGAAAAGCCTAATCTTTTTCTCATAGCAATTAAGCAAAAATTTTAAAAAGGATCATATCTTTTGAAGGTAGAGGCATCAGTTTGAACTCCTCTTTAATGATATCAAATATAGAATCCCATAAGCACTATGACTATTGATGGAGCATGCAATCCAAAAAAGGAATCCATTCATATCAATAAAGGTTTCAGCACACACAAAGTCTCTACTCTAATAAAAATCAATCATCCTCCATGCTCTCCTCCAAGATAGTTCAACTCAACCTTATCAAAGATGGAGACGAAGCACGTTGCTTGAATCAGGTTATATTTGTTTTTGGCTTGGGGATGTCTATTTGTGCCCTAATAGGGGGATTGAGGATGTAGTACTGAGAGAGAGCTTCTTCGACATCATCAATTTGTTCATGGAATTGGTCAATGAGGCAAAGGAACCATCATTGGAGGAGACTACTTCATCTGTCATGCTATGTCGTCTCTCAAGAATAATAGCCCCCGTAGAGGGAGGAAGGACTTGGAGGTTGAGGTGGGGGAGATTGGAGTTATTAAAATGTTAATTGGTGGTTTGGATTAGGATGGAAGTAGGGGAACAACAATTGTGGTCAATGAGGAAGGAGGGATCCATGATGATGGAAAACCAAGATTTTGAGATGCATCTGAATGTGGTGATGGATGGATTTGGCTGGAAGCCAAAGAAGAATGTTAACGACTAGATCATCTGGGAGGTAGTGTGTTATGTCTCTAATTATGTTCTTCGACATCACCGGTGTTTTAGTTTTCTTCTTGGATCAGTTGTTTAGTTCCACATAAGTGAAAAATATAAAGGGATTGAGGGAGAAGTGGTGATGTCATAGTTCTATTGAATTGTTCCTGGCACTGAAAAACTCGTTCACAATTAAGTTGCATATTTAAAATGCAATGAAAAATGTGTTGACTAAATGCGTTGTACTTTAATTTTCTCTAGTGTAAAAAATAAGGAATTATTTATGTTATACATATATATCAATAAAATACTTTTTACCTATATGTACATTTAGCATACAAATTACTCAATATATATATATATATAGTCATCTATGAACAATTACAAAGAAAAAAAAAATAACGAGCACATTTGTTCGATACATATCCTTAATAATTAATTTTAACTTAATAGTAATATTCCATAAAAAAGTTTAATCCATCCATTCTCTTTTATTTTGACATATATTATTTAAAAAACTTGATACTTAATTAATATTAATTTTATTATCTTTATTTAACTCCATTTTTATGATTTTTCTTTGAATTTATTTTCTATTGTTAAAAAAATAATAATTTTCTCAAATTTAAGCTTACAATCTATATTATCATGTGATTATTTAATATTCAATATAATTTAAGCTACTTAGTAATTTTAATTATATTTCTTATTTTATGGGCAATTATATTAAATTTATTATTATACAAATTCATTTTCTATTTATTTAAATTACTTATTTGTTATATTTATTTTTATAATTTTTAAGTTATAATATTATAGTATCACTTCCAATATATATTTGTGCCCTATATTTTTAATAATATGGTTGGCCATATTTGTACAATATGATATTTGTGTCCTAATATTAATATCAAAGCATCATAATTTTCGAGGAAAAACAAAGCTATGAAAAACCCATCCTCCCTTTCGTTGGCCAGTTCTTATCATCGACCTCAAGATCACCCCATCTCCTTAAGCCTTGATAGGTAGGCCTCCAAACAATAATGCAAGATGCAAATTTTGTTATTTTAAAGGGATTATATGTAAATATAAAAAAAGTAAATAACATATATTTTGATGAAATGTATAAAAATATCTCAAAAGATTTTTATAAAGAAGTATTTAATCCATTTTTTAAAAGGTTTATTTGTATTATAAGACGTTTAAACAATTTTATTTGAAAAAAAAAATATTGACATGCCTAATTTAAAATGTTAAGATTTAGATTTAATAGAGTAACTTTACTCTAGTATAAAAATGACCAAAAGTTCCATAAAATCATATCTTGTTAACTAAAGAGTTAGAGATAGAATTTAGGCTTCCTTTAGGATACTTTTTTATTGCTTTTAAAAGCAGTGGCCAAAAGCTGTTTCATATGAGATAGTTTTTTTAATTTCCTAGGAAGTATATACTTTATTCCTTCCATTAGATCATTGAATTACTTTTATTTGCACTACTCACGTAACTAAGCTTACAGTTTGACATAATTTTTAATCTCCATGTACTAAAACTTATAGCTAAATTAATACGTATTTGATTCCAAAGTCGTATGAACTTTGTTTTTGACAAACTTAGAATCAAAATAGTTTGGTTTGATGAGATGAACCCAATGGTATAAAAAATGCTTTGATCAGAGTCTAAACAAACCTAAATCAAGTGGTTAGATAAATTTCAAATACTTAAAAGTGCTTAGTCTAATGCAGTCCATATGCTTGCTCATATACAATGGAGTTTACATAAAGTGTTCTCATTGTCTAATGCTTTCTTGAAAACATAGATCTATACATCACCATTTGATGTGTTTGAATTTAGTTTAGTAGTTTTGGCGTAATGTGATTTGAATGTAATTGTGTTAAATATTCAAACTATTATGCCTAAATGTTAATCACTAATTAGCTAAGATTTATCTATTTATTGTACAACTAAATTTTAATATAGCTTTAAAATGCACATTGTGTGCCCAATTTAGACCTCACCCTACTCTTCTTGGTGTTCTCTTAAAATGCTCATAATCTACCTTAGCCTAACCTTGACATTTAAAGGCCTAACACCTTATGTAGTTGGATTATGTGATCCAATAGAATATTATTTTATAACCTTACTTTATTCTCTTAATTGAATCAACATCTTATCATATAATGTGGCATTCAACATCATTCTTTAATTTGATGCATTTGTGATGCCTCTTTAGTTTGGGTGCTTGTGGCACCTCTTAATTGAGGCACATGTGGTGGCTCATATTGTGACATATTTAAGAAAATTTTCTCTTCTTTTTCTTTTTTTTTTTTTTTGGAAAAAAAATTATAAAATTTTGTTAGCTTCCCCTCCTCCCTCGACAAGTATGAATACACACAAATAGTGAAGGAAAATTGCTCCTCCTCTCCTTATAAACTCTAATTTTCTTCTCTTAAGAGACATCTTCCTCTATCTTTTTAAAGATAGTGTTTGATTCCCTATTAATGAGATCCACTAAAATGTTGACATGGTTAGGCATTGCATATCCTCTTTATATGGTCCATTGCTCCTCAACATAGAGTAATGCATTATCATTTGGAATTGTA